GGTACCCTATAACGATTTTAGCATAATGAGAAACAATAATTTAAATATTTACCCCTTTTATTAATCAACTAGGTGTTGAATGTCTACATGATGGCAATAATGTTATGAACAAATCAATTATAAATACAAGAAGAGAAATAGGGAGACTTTGAAAAATACCTCTCGAGCAAGCTTTATAGAAGAGAAAAGTCTTAAATCGTATTACAAAGGCACATTTTGGCAGCCTTTCGCTCTACAGGAACCTCACAAACACTTAAGAAAGACTATAGAGAGAGAAGAGAGAGTTTCTACTTGGACTAGGTCAACTAAGTAGTGTGTGTGGAAGCATATGCCTAAAAAAATGCTTAAATAGGCTTCTAAGGGCATGGAACGGTCATTCCCAGGCTTGAAACAACTGTTTTGGCCCATGAATTTACACAAAAAATGGGTCTTTGGAATGACCTATTCCCAACTAGGATTATAGGCCATTTTTTTAGTTGGGAACGGTTGTTCTAGATTTGAGAACAATTGTTCTGAGCCTAAAACTAGGGTTTTAAGGTTCTTGGGCTTTCTAGTGCTATCCTGGTTTGTTTAGTCGTTCTACTGGGTCCTCGAGGGCCGCTCGTGTCATTTCAGCAATCCTTTGTCCTTAGTCTTGATAGCCCGAACGAAATCTGGTGTCTATAGGTACAATCACATAAACTCCACCCCCTTAGTGTATCTAACGTTATTCGGGAAGTACTTTTCCAAAAAATCTTTCTTGAAGCACTCTTAGTCAACTACCAAACCTCTACTCTCTAACATTTATCTGGTACCTCTCCGACAATACTCAACCTTTCCTACTAGCATGTATATTATGTAAGCCAACTTTTGCTCATCAGTGCACCCAAGAACCCCAAAGATTTTCTCCATCTCACTCAACTAATGGTCAGCCACATTTGGATCGAAATCCCCTTTGAATTGGTGAGGGTGACACTTGTTAAACTCTGCCAAATCCTTCCCTCCTGTGACACCACAGGTCTAGCTGCTTTAGTTGCAACCCTACTCACCTTCATCTAAGAAAGGCAAGAACTTTGCTACCACATTGCCATGACCATCATCTCCATGGCCTTAACAATCTAGTCATATTGTGGCCTAACCATTCTATAAGAAATCAACAACCATTTTGCAACACTACTCAACAACTACTCAATATAATTCAACACATTTTTAGCACAACACAGAGTACTACATAATAAAAACCTAATGGGATCAGCCCCCACAGAGTGCCAAAAGACTCATCGACTCTGATACCATAAAAGTATAACGACCCGCCATGGTTGCTACACTAAATGACGCAACTACTAACTTAAGATCATATACTTAAAAATACTAGAATAGGTACAATATTGTATACATATAAGGATGAAACGACTACTTCAATATGTGTAATATACATATAATAATCCTGCATATGTAAATATGCAACTAAGTTGCCAATCAAGCAATTATAACTATCTACACAAATCTATCACCAATAAGTAGTCATCAAAACATCTAGCTCCAATTCCATTGTATGGCCTCTACTGCAACACTTCATCCCTATCCCTGCCCTACTCCCATACAACGTATGATTATTCCAGTTCAAACAACATGGAAATATGCAAGGGTAAGCTATGAAAAAAAATGAAATAATATATATATTATATATATATATATATATATACACAACATAAGAACATTACATCATCATCTAATCTTTGACACAAGCATCACAATATACAAAATAGATCAACATAATCCAACTTTGATTCAACACAACACATTTCATCATAGTTCAACACAACATATGAACAACGCAATCATTTCAACACATCATATGCTCAACACAATAACTATATGTTTCGTCATGCATTTCAACTAGGAGATCTCCTACAACAAAGGGTGAGCAGTTTAAGTGGCTTGATCCTATCGAACCAACAACATAGGGTAATCCTTTTGGACTTGCTAAATCAACAACAAATTGGATATAAATCCAAAACACAACAACTCAGTTTCTTGGATGTCACCACTTAAACAAGGAAGTATAATACCATCGATTATACTCCAAACACTACAACCTTCCGATACTCGGTTAGAAACTAAGTTCTCAACTTCATAATTTACTCGGTTGTCACTTGTAATCAATATAGCTTGACCTGACCCCTATACTATTTTCGCTTCATACATGTGTGTCTCGACCTTGCCCACACACGGTACTAACAATGTCCTAGAGGAGAAACAACATAATATCCATTTCAAGGGTCAACTTCCCAAGAAGGGTTTTTCAACAAATTGAGCTCTTAGAGCATCATAACACAATATCCACACAATGAGATATGCAACTTTAAAAAATATCTCCTTTAGTCGTAAGTGGTCAACATAGCTCAACAACACAACAATTCATTATAATTTTCAACATAGCAACTCAATCAACACATAACTTTTCAACTCATATCACCATCATTACAACTCATTTACAACACTATGATTAACATACATCTCACCAACACATCAATATTATTCATATAGAATCCTAACATAGCTACACAACTTCACAACATACTACTCGATTCAACTTTCAACTCAACTTAAACAATGTAAACAACATACATCTTTACAACATTCACATCTTTAGAGAGCAACATCATAGATCAACTTAAGCAACTAGAACGACTTACAACTTAATCATCTTTCAACAATTAATACAAAATAACCAAATCACTAATTGTGAAATGACAACCTTCACATAAAATAATGCATAGGAAGTTCTACTACTCCTATCATGCTTATCCTTATCTCATATGAAAGATAAGAAGATTTTTTTTACAACTTAGGTTCTAATTCCATCATCTACCATGTTGAAAATTGTAAAAACTGCCACAGTTTGCCTAAATGTTGATAGCTTGAACTTTGCTCACTAAAAAGGTCATAATTGTAGTTCTAGACCTCCATTTTAGATGATTCTAATGCCATTGGAAAGTAAACTTCCAATACTACAACTTTCATGAAGACATCAATATCAAATTCGGTCATCTACCTCTACTGCTACAACGCTCATTTCAGCGTTTTAGCATTAGATTTCTACCAGCTTAGTTTTCTCCCCATGGTTGTAAATTATAATGCTCAATTGTGGTTGCTACGTTGGATCTCTACCAGTCCAATTTTCCCCACCATTGTAGCGCTTAACCACAACTACAACGTTAGATCTCTGCCATCCCATTTTCTCTCACAGTTGCAACACTCAACCACAGCTACAAAATTGAGTGTAGAATTTTTTTGCACTTTCGTGGCTTCCCTCTTCATTCTTCATCTACATTTCACCAATTTTCCTCCTAAACACAATCTACACTCATTATTTCTACTAGATTCGTTCATGCAACCCAAAACCCACAAAACAACATGTAAGCACTAAAACTCAAAGAATTCATCATTTTTTTTTTACATTTCATCAAAAACACCAAACCTTAATTTTTCAACATGCAACCCCTTTGAATCCATCTCCACAGCTACAAATTTTAGAAATTATATCAACATTAAACTTTTAATTCATCCAACAGCCTAACATTTCAACCCAATCCCCAAGATTCCAACTTATCTTACCTCGATTCCGAGCTCTCCGAGGAAGAAGAAGAAGAAGAGAACAAAGAACTCCGAGAGCTCTAACTACTTGAATGAAGGAAAAAGGGAGAGGAAAGAAGAAACAACTCCCAGCTTCCAAGGTAGCACCCCACCACTACCACAACTTGTTTTTCCTCCTTCACGGTTTAGCCACGTTGTTCTCAAACACTCTCGAGTCTGTGAAGAGTAAAAGAAACTCAAAGGGAGTGTTACAATATTAATATTTTGTCTTATACAATGTATTAATTTGTAAATAAACTTAATTGTATCATGAGCAAAATTTTTTGCAAGGGTTTAGAATAAAAACAACTATGTTTAAAGAAGCACCAAGAAAGTGAAGATGAAGAAAAAAAAAAGGGATGTGAACGAAACGAAATAAGAAAATCTAAACATTAGATGAAATCTAAAAATATTATTAAATATTAGTAGAGTTGAGACACTTCATATTTTTATATATTTTATTTAAATATAAAATAAAATATAAAAAATAAGGGAACAAATTCAATTTAATACATATATATTAAAATAATTATTTAAAGGAGAGGTGTAAGAATTAAAATAAAAATGAATCAACAAATAACAAATAAGTCAAATAAACGAGAATTATAGTTATTTAAGAATAAATGTGTATTAATAAAAATGAAAAGTAAATATATATAGATAAGACGTGTATAATATATATATATATATATATAAAGGAAGGATTCGTTTATTTTAAAAATAAGTCTACCTACACTTATTATGTTCAATAACTCATGTTTTACATAAAATTTTAACGATTTAATCGTTGAATTTAAAGTTCTTAATGTATAGATTAAGTCTGTAAATTTTTAAAAAATTTGAAAACCATTTGATAATTCGTTTTATTAATTCAAATTAATATATAAAATAATTTTATAATTATCTGTCAATTTAAATTAATGAAATAAAATATCAAATAATTTTTAATTTTTTAAAAAATTTACAAATTTAATTTATACATTAAAAATTTTAAATTCAATAATTAAATCGTTAAAATTTAATATAAAATATAAATTATTAAATAAAATAAATTTATATAAATTTACTCTTAGAAGTTAGAATAAACAGATTTGTCCTGGAAAGAAAAATTTGTCCGAATAAAAACAGTAGAAATTGAGAGAGAAGGAAAGTAAATTAGCACATTAGCATCCCAAAATTTTCAGCAGAATGACGATCGGGCCCTTGGCATAGTGACTAGGCTCGATGTGATTGGAAAATAAAAAAAGCAGAAAGTAGAGCCACTGCCCAAGAATAATCAACCCGTAACTCTCAAGTGCTCTTAACTTTTTTTCCATTTTCTTCTTTTATTGGTTTGGCGATTTTATCCAAACATAAAACAACAAAAACAAATACGTGGTAATTAATTGGAAAAGAAATTAAGTGTCCTTTCCTTTTTATTTTTTATTTTCCTTTTCAAAGGGTATAGGAAATGGAGAAAGAAAAAGAAGAAGAAGAAGCTAGTTTGCTTGCTCCTCTTTTCTCGCGATTGTTTTTTCCGTCAAACTATTTTCTTATCTGAGTCACAGATTTTCTCGGAATCCAAACACCCTTTGTCTGAATCTCCCTTTTGCTGAGATCTACCCTCTCTTTCATTGATGGGTTTTTCTTTAGCAGTGAACTGGTGAGATTAACTTCCATCAAAGTTCAGATCATGTTCAAGTTTCGTGCTTGAAGCCATCTTTCACGTTTAGATGGTTTGGTTGTGATTGAAAAAACTGTTTTTTTCAGTTTGATTAATGTTAGTTCCAGTGTATTTCTTTGTTCATTCTCATTTTTGTTAGTGCTTCTTTTTTAGTTTTTGAGATCATGATTGTAATTGCATTAATGTAAAATTTGGGTTGGTGTTTTCTTTTTTAATAATGATGATAATAACTTGGTAAGAGACCAGAGATATGCTTCACAATAATGGTTGTGAAGCTTTTTGGTTGTAAAGCTTTTTCTGTTGTGTCTAAAGCCTTTTTGTTAAATTTCTCTTGGAAACACTTGGTTAGAAAAATAGTAATGAAATTGTGACTAGTTTTTCTATAAATTAAAATTAGCTCATAAATAAACTAATTTGTAGAAGTTCTTTCATGTTAGCTCTTCTATACTTCATGTTAGCTCTTCTATATTATTTTTTTAATTTATGTATAAACTAGTGTTAACTCTGTAAGCTTATTGAGAAACTTATTTTAATTTTTCATCCTATTTCATTCTTCTAGAAATGTTTCTGGAGAAATTTATCCAAATAGTCCCTTAAGGTAACTGCATGTTTAGGATTCAAAGAGTTGAGTTTGCACAATTCTCTTTCAGCTTAACAGAATAGGGTGTCCTTGTTAGTGTGTTTCTTTGAGGTATAAAAATGGGTGCCAGAGATATGATAAAAGTTCATTTGTTTGATGATGAATTTGTTTTCTCGTCATTGGGCACTTGAGATCAGTGCATGCCTTATTTGCTGTCTGTTTTTGACCGTTTCTTGGATTACATAATCTTGGACTTTTTGTTGGTTAAGTGTATTCTGTTGTTGTATCTCTCTTGCCATGTGCTGAAAAGACAAGAGAGCCCTGGAGGAATTAGTCTTATTTGGAATGATGTTCTTTTGTTTTTATTATGGGCTTCTGAAAATCTGGATTTTTGATAGCAAATTTGTTTGTTAATGTTGACTGGAATTCTTTGGGTTGATAACAGTTTGATTTCGTTGCCCTTGGTTGATAAATGAGTTTGTCTTGTTTCTAAGTGACGTCCTTTAATATCTTTTGCATATTTGTTGTTTTGGGTGAGTCCGTGAGTGTTTTAAAATTGGAAAACCATTCTTTATCTTTAGCCTATCATTTTTCTTGTATAGATGTTTAATTTGATACAGTTACATGCATATCTCATGGAAACTTGATGTGTTTGAAGGTTTAATAACTTTTTAATGGTATTTGATGCTTATTTATTTTGCTTCTAACTTAATATAATTGAGAAACTGTCTTTGAAGGTTAGATTCAATGGATTTGTGATTGTTTTTCCTCAGGTAAACCTGCTGCAAATGAAAGCATTTGGAGAAGTTAAAGTTAGTATTTGCTATTTTGATGAGTGCATCTCAACCCAGAAGCCACATAATGAATCACTTGACCATTGAAACTGAAGATTCTTTTGCAAGCTTGCTTGAGCTTGCAGCTAATAACGATGTTGAAGGTTTTAGGCGAATGATTGAGAGGGATCCTTCCTGTGTTGACGAAGTAGGATTATGGTACAGTCGTCGCAAGGGATCTAGGCTGATGGTCAATGAACTTAGAACCCCATTGATGATTGCTGCTACTTATGGTAGCATTGATGTTATGGATCTGATTCTTTCACTTTCTGGTTATGATATTAATAAGCCTTGTGGCCTTGACAAGAGCACAGCCCTTCATTGTGCGGCATCAGGTGGGGCTGAAAATGCTTTTGAGGTTGTTATGTTGCTTCTAGCCGCTGGGGCCGATCCAAACTGTGTGGATGGAAATGGTCATCGTCCGGTCGATGTGATTGTTGTTCCTCCCAAACATAAATCCGTTAGAAACAATCTTGAAGCACTTCTCCAAACTGATGACTCCATTGCAGTGTGTAATCTTAGGGTGATCACGACCCCATCAAATGCATCATATTCTCCACCTTTATCAACTTCACCAGATGATGGGTCTCCTTCTGCAGCAGATTTCCAATTGAAGTCAAAGTTGAATGATGACTTTGTTTCTTCTGCATCAGAGAAGAAAGAATACCCTGTTGATCCATCCCTTCCTGACATCAAGAATAGCATATATTCAACTGATGAATTCCGAATGTATTCTTTCAAAGTCAGACCTTGTTCGCGTGCTTACTCACATGATTGGACTGAATGCCCTTTTGTTCATCCAGGGGAGAATGCTCGAAGAAGGGACCCGCGAAAGTACCATTACAGCTGTGTCCCTTGTCCTGATTTTCGGAAGGGTGCTTGCCGACGTGGAGATATGTGTGAATATGCTCATGGTGTTTTCGAGTGCTGGCTACATCCAGCACAATATCGAACCCGGCTTTGCAAGGACGGGATAAGTTGCTCCAGAAGAGTTTGCTTTTTTGCTCACACTGCCGAGGAGCTTCGACCATTGTATATTTCAACAGGTTCTGCTGTACCATCTCCTCGCTCAAGCTCGTCATCTGCTATGGATTTTGCTGCTGCCATGAACATGTTGCCTGGCACTCCTTCCTCGATGTCTGTCATGTCTCCTTCACCATTCACTCCGCCTATGTCACCCTCTGGAAATGGCATGTCACACTCATCTGTTGCCTGGCCCCACCCACACGTACCAGCCTTACATCTGCCAGGGAGTAATCTTCATTCCAGTCGGTTGAGATCTTCATTCAATGCTAGAGATATTCCTATGGATGACTTTGACTTGTCTGATTATGATGTTCAGCAGCAGCAGCAGCAACAGCTTCTTAACGAGTTATCTTGTCTCTCTAAACAGCCTAATGCTATGAACCGCTCAGGTCGCATTAAAACATTGAACCCGTCAAATCTTGATGAGCTATTTTCTTCTGAGAGTTCATCCCCTCGGTTTGCTGATCCAGCATTGGCTTCAGCTGTTTTTTCTCCAACACATAAATCAGCTGTCTTTAATCAATTTCAGCATCAGCAAAGCTTGTTGTCACCTGTGAACACAAAATTTTCTCCTAAAAATGTTGAGAATCCATTACTGCAGACCCCTTTTGGCATTCAAACTTCAGGAAGGATGTCTCCACGTAACATGGAACCTATTTCTCCAATGAGCTCTCGGATTTCTGCACTAGCTCAACGTGAAAAGCAGCAACAGTTCCGAAGCCTCAGCTCCAGAGAACTTGGCTCCAACTCTGCTACTGTTGCTGTTGCTGGTGAGTCCCAAGTGAGTTCTTTGTCAAAGTGGGGATCTTCCAATGGTGCATTGGATTGGACTGTCAATGGAGACGAATCAGGGAAACTTCGAAGATCATCCTCATTTGAGACCGGGAATAATGGCGAGGAGCCAGATTTTTCATGGGTGCAGTCACTTGTTAAAGAGTCTCCGTCAGAGATCAAGGAGAATTCAGCAAAGACAGTAACAAGCGTTGCAGCAGCTGGATCCTCCAGTGAGGTATCGAATATGAGCATGCAAACAGACACCATTGATCATGCCATGTTAGGAGCATGGCTTGAACAAATGCAGCTTGATCATCTTGTGGTTCAGCAAAATTAAAATGAAAATTTTCTGACCTGAGATAGTCAACAAAGAAAGTTTCAGTGATAATTAGAATGCTCATTTGAAGTTTTGTTTGTATTGATGGGAGAAGATAACAGTAACAATGAAAGGAAGCAGAAAAAGGAACTTCATTATCAAATTTAGTGTTACATGAGTAACTTAGGAAGCTCACAAAACCACTGGGTAGTATTTATGCATCTTCTCCCAGTTTTGGCTTGCCCATAGTTTCTAATTTTAGCTTCACATTCCTGTCATTTTCTTTTTGGCCTTCCAGAATGAGTAAATGTTCTATTTTTCTTCCTTTTTCATTTTGGGTAGAAAAAAGAAACTGCGAGGGTCATTGGAGTTATAATTTCCTTGAAACTCCGATTGATCCAGTTTTGGGATGAAAACACAGGATGTTGGATATGTTATGTATCATGTAATTTGGAACAAATAATAGTGGATATGTTAGATAGTGGGTAAGTCAGGGATATTGGATGATTGATACTTGGGTTATGTAGCATTCAATTTAAGTTTGTTGTTGCATTATCATAATGCTATTTTATCTTTAATCCAAGTTGCCTCCATTACCTCTGTAGTTTCTGATTGACATATATATCTTATACCTGAACTGTGCTAAATTTCCAATTCCTATCCATGGATTTGATTCTGTACAATGTGCATCAATTTCAATTATATTTAGATATTTGTTCGGATTCTCCTTCTCAGAGTTCAGCTAAACGAAAACAAGATACATGGCCCTATGAAACTTGTGGCAATATAGTATAGATAAATATTTAATGTTTTTAATTTTAAAACTCGATTTGTATTACCTAACCTTTTCAATCTTCGTACTCGTCGTACTCCTTCTGGACTCATGAGTAAAAAAGCACCTTTATTTATTTATTTACTTAAATTTTAACTTAAAATTGATCCTATTTAATGTTATTATTCCAAAAAAATATTTTTAAATTAAATGTGATAACTCAATAAATACTATTAAGAATATATTTTTTTTAACAAACTATTAAGAGTAGTTTAAGAAGAAAAATTTAGTTTTTATATGAAATTAATAAAATTAAATGAATTTAATTAATTTTTTAATATTTGAGAATTTAGATATTTTTGTTTGGAGGAGGTAATATGATAGAAAAACTTTAAATCATTCGAAATAACCACTTGAAAAAGTGTTGTAATTTTTTACATTTATTACATACTATTTCATCTGTAAATATTAGTTGCTCCATTTGACTCGCACGCCAGTAATTCTCTCGTTATATCCTACATTTTTCACTCGTTTGTTTTACAACTTAGCAAAGTTAAAGGGGGCTATTTGTCATAAAACAAATCTCGGGCAATTAAAAAGAAAAAAACACAAGTTCAATATTTTAATTTTTTAATCTATAAGAACTATAATGACATGATTTAAATTTAAGACCATAACCCTTCAATTAAGCTGATCATAGTGGTTACTTAGATATCTTAATCAATTCAAGCTCTTATTGTCCCAGGGTATTTTTGACAGATACAAAGTATTGCGACATTACTCATTAATTATATGCCTTATCAAGTTGAAAGTAATCTAACCCGGGTTGCTCGAAATTATGGGAGTCGAAAAGTTGGATTGATAGTGCTACTCGAGAGAAATATAAACGTCAAATCAAACACATGCTGAGAACGTATGACGAGCCTTATTTGTTTGTGCTCGAGGTATGGTCGAATAAAAATAAGGACTACTCGAAAATAGATGAAGGTTTCCTGAGGCTAGCCCAAAACAATTAGGTAGTTATACCAGAGCGGTTACTAAAGGATAAATCAAAGAGATAAAGACACGTGGGATAAGCAGTTATTGGAAGTTATAAGCACGTATCTGATATGGAGGGGAGTTACCCACCCACGACGCATGCACGCAAAAGAAAACTGTTCTCGAAAATTTCTATAAATAGGCAAAAGTTGGCCTTTTACGAGGTCGGGAAAACTCATACTTCAACTAGACCTTCAAGTATTCTCTGCCTGCACACATGGCTTCTATGCGAGGAATTATCTTTGGGTATGATCACTTCTCGGCCACTTTTATTTTCTCTTTTTAGGATTAGAATTAGTTTAGCTTTCTTTCTGCGTTTAATCATTGCTGAAAGTACTCAAACGTTGAAAATATTAACCAATTTTAAATGGTATTTTAAAATCGGTTATCATCTAACCGATTTTAAAAGGTGCCTTTGTTACTACTTTTTAAATCGGTTGTTTTAGAACTAATTTTATATATGATATACAAAATTGGTTCTAAGATAACCGATTTAAAAAAGTATGTCATGTTTCTATTTTTAAGATCGGTCTTATAAGAATCGATTTTGTATGTAAGATACAAAATCGGTTCTTTTATTAACACGATCTTAAATATCTGGGTTCACCACTTTTTCAACTTCAATCTCTCGTGCTTCAGTCTTAACTCTCTCGTGCTTTGTCGTGCTTTGTTCAGGCTCACCGCGTTTTCCTCCATTCTCTCGCCAACAATCTCTATTCGTCTTCGCCAAGAGGTATGTGCTTCAGTCTTCACTTTTGTGTTCTCCGTTAGGGTTTTGTCGCGGACGCCACCGCCATTGTCGCGCAAGTCGTCGCCTCCCGTGACGCCATTGTCACGCAAGTCGTAACCATTGAATCTCCCCCTGGAAGCAGTTGGAGAACAACGAGGGGATTGGGCTTTGGAGAGGGTTTTCTTGATTCGCCAGGGGATTGTCGCGCAAGTCGTAACCTTTGACATATTTCTTGATTTGCATATTGGTTTGGATGATTATGTAGGTACAGTTTGCAGATGTTTAAGATCTGAGTTGAAATTTTGTGATATAATTGGTTCATATCTTTTCAGTTTCCAGCTAAAAGTAGTGGTTTGGCACATAGATTATTGTCTCCTTGTTGTGAGGTTAGAATAGTCAAATCTCATAATATCTTTTTGTTGAGCTTAGGAGAGCTTGAATCTTAAAGGAGTTTTGATGATCACAACAAGTATACAACAACAACTTGGAGCACAAAAACAAAGTTAAAGAAGAGTCAAGAAAATGCTATGAAATGAAGCTATGTAATAGAACTTAGGAAATAAATTGTTTTGAATGTGTTTTTATATTTTGTGTGCTTTGTATGCTATGTGCATAAGCAAATCTATATCTAAACCAAGTAGAGAGTATATGATGATGAGTTAAAAACATTGGAAAGTTATTTTGAGTCTTAAAATGAAGTTTTAAGAACTAACTCAAAATAATCGATTATTGTTAAATATAATCGATTATTTCAGCAAATAGGCTAAGTGGAATGCCTTGCTGTAATAATCGATTATTTGCCAAAATAATCGATTATCCCAGGAACAACTCTCTGGAATAATCGATTATCCAGCTAAATAATCGATTATATTGTTCTTGGTTGATTTCCAGAAAATCTGAAGAACAAAATAATCGATTATTCTTTAAAATAATCGATTATCTGTGTCTGAAACTTTTATAAATAGTTTGAACTTTGAGAAACTTCAGACATGAGTTAGAACTGATAATCAATTTGTGAAAAACGTTTTTGTGAGTCTTTGTGACATCTTGGAGAGTTTTCTTTGTGAAATCCAAGAGTGAAAACGTTTGTGAAAAGCTTTGGTAGAAGATCATCATCATCATATTCTTGAAAGGGGAAGATAAAGATTTGTTCAAGAATTCCAGGTGAATTCGTTCCTTTTATTCTTTGTGAATCTTTGTGGAAAATCTTGAGAAGGGTTTCTCAAGTTGTAAGGTTTCTTGTAGTGGGTTCTACAAGGGGTGCTTTCTTGGGGTCAAGAAAGTGGTTATCTTT